GGATTATCTCGACCTTCAGCCGGTCAGATTCTTTGGAATGGCCGCAGCATTACTCAATCAGGCATATTCCAGCAATGCAAGCTTCAATTAAACGGGCTTTCCCTCAATGTTGCGATATAAGGACAAACTCCTTTACAAGGTTCAATGATTAAGCATGGCAAGTCTAGCCTGTGAAAGATGATAGAAACGGGAGAAATCTTACAAGGAAAGATGAAAAATCTAATGGGAAAGAGTAAAATATTTCAATGAAAATAACATAATAAAAGAGTGAAAGGACCAAGCTTTTGTTTGTAGCCACATTAGTTCCACCTTCATTTACCACAAGGAAATGACTCTTTTATCCCTCCCCCTTTTTTTTTCTCTGTTGCCGTTTTCACCCGTTGTAAAAGGCAAATGGGGAGAGGCTTGAGGGTTTTCAAAGGCTCATTAGTTTAAGAATGAGGCTTTGCTCTCAGTGGAGGTGGCTGGTTTTCTAAAGGGCGGTTGCTCCTCTCCTCTGATTGATAAGCGAAGCCTATGATTTCACTTTCACTTACAATTGATTATCTACAACAACCCTTTGTCTCTCTCTGTCTCTCTACTAAATTCATACATGCAACAACATTGCTCGCCATCTTCCTCGTTTCTACTTCTCTGTATCTGGTTAATTGCTTATTATCTTCCTTTTCTTCTTCTTCTTCTTCTTCTTCTTCACTCGAAAGCACCGACACAATGAGGCAATGATGATTGTTTTTTGGGTTATTAAAGTTCAGATTTTTGAAGAAAAAAGACCGTTGCTTGGCGGGGCAACTCTTGATTGTTGCAGCCACCGGTTCTGTTTTCTTTACCTGTCTGAAAAAAGGCGAATCTGAGCCTCCCTTGCCCCCTCCCCCCTTGATTGAGTTTTTTTCCTGGTTGGGGAAAGATGCTCAGTGTCTTATTTTACTGTCATACAATACCCATTGTAAAGGAGAGATCCAGAGTAATATACCATAATTGATTCTTGATTGTTGTTAAATTTTGATTTCGATTAGCTATTTGTTTATCAGAGTGAAATCTAGGAACACCCCATTTGGGAAATGTGAGATCTTGATCAGAATTCGTTGCTACTTTTTTCATTTCCATCTCTTATGCATATGGCCAAGAAGTAAGTGATAAGATATATGAATTTTAGGGCCAACTGAGCTTGCAGTAAGCTTTCATAGCCTGAAAGAAGTATGTTGCCCATTTTCTGTATTGATTTTGGCCCTTCTCACTGTAGGAAGATATAATGAACGATCTAATTGGATTTGGTCTTCGGTTTTTGTATCAGTCTATTGAGATATCACAAGCATGTTACACTTTGTCTATTTCATCTTGTGTAGAATAACAAATTACGCTATTTTATTGAAATTAAGAATGAATCAGGTTAATGTTCGTGAGTTATCTACGACTCAAGATTGAATAGTTGATCATCGGATATTTGACTACGACTCAGGGTAATGTTCTTGCCTTTTATTATGCTTTCCCTAAGAAGGCGATGGCTGTAAAATTTTCGTCTGGTACTTGGCACTCTTTGGTCATCTATGTGAATACCTTGTTTATTTCTTTGTGCTCTTTTTGTTAACTTTCACGGGTTGGCTAATCTATTGGTCACAGGTTAGTTCATTTGGCCAACTTGAACTGATCTTTATATTCATCCTTTTAATTAATCGAAACATTGCCTTCCATTCATTTGGTGAAAACATGATCATGTATGCATGATGCTGATTATGGTGAATGCAGAAGAGGAAGCAATGCCTCTGATCTCAAGCATTACTCTTATTCATTTGATGAAAACATGATCATGCATACATGATACTGATCACGGTGAATGCAGCAGATTGTGGAATCAATGACTCTGATCTTAAGTATCACCCTCTATTCATTCGGTGAAAACATGATCATGTATGCATGATACTGATAACCGTTAATGTTGTTTGTGGAAGCAATTACTCTGATCTCAAGTGAGAAGCAATTCGTGGACTTTCTGACACATGAACGACACCTTTACCGGAGATATGAGGGTGGCTTCCGGTACCAAAAGGAGGCAGAAAAATGGATAGCAGCCACTGTAATCTGGGAAGAGGAGGCAAGAAAGCGAGCCTTGCTGATCAAATAAACTTTGTAAATGTTGATAGTTTTTGTAACATAGTACCCGGACCAACAAGTGTATATATAATCTTCTGGGATACCATTCGTGTGTATAAATTGTTCTAAACAGAATCCGGATTCTGGATCAAACAAACTACATAATCTATGATATGCATTGTTTTGGTATCTCAGGGAAGCATATTAAGATGTTAAACTAGATTGTACCTTTTTTGGTTTGAATTCTTTCTCAAAGATTACATCTTTGTTCCAAGTTCACTGCTTTCAAACCAAACAAGAGATCAGATGATAGAAACGGGACAAATCCTTGAAAGGGAAACTTCCGAAGATGAAAATCCAATGGGAAAGAGTAAATATTTCGCTAAAAATAACATAAACGAGTGAAAGACGCGTGCTTTTGCTTGTAGCCACTTCAGTTTTCAGTTTCTTCCTAATTTGGAAATGAGGCTTTCTCAAAGGTTCAATAATTTAAGGATGAGGCTTTGCTCTCACTGGAGGTGTCTGGTTTGCTCTCCTCCTCTGATTGATAAGCGAAGTCTATGATTTCACTCACACAAAATCTACAACAACCCCCCCCTCTCTCTCTCTATCTATGCTCAATTCATCCATTCGCATATAATATTCATCACCATCATCATCGCTACTACTGCTGATCTGTCTATGCTATATTCCTTCTTCTTCATGCAAAGACCCCTATGAAATAAGGCAATGATGATTGTCCTTTGGGTTATTAAAGTTGAGACTTTTGAAGAAAAAAAGGCGTTGCATGGCGGGGCAACTCTTGTTTGTTGCAGCCAGCGGTTTTGCTTTCTTTACCTGTCTGACAAGAGGCGAATCTGAGACCCCCCCCCCCTTTTCTTTTTTTCCTCCGGGTTTTGTGCTTGGTTGAGTTTACCTGGCTGGGGAAAATACCCAGTTTCATGTCTTAATGGGAATCTTTATTTTAAATCTTATTTTCATTTCAAAGTTGAAATTTTTATGGTGAAATCAGTGTGATTTTGGATCTAGTTGGCTAAAGCATGAACTTCTATAGGGTGATTTTACCTGTCAAAATTTGATTTTGATTACCTATTTGTTTATTAGAGTGAAGTTAAAGATTACCCCATTTGGAAAATGTGGGATCTTGAATCAGCCTTTGTTGCATTTTGAGCTTTTGTTACCATAGTTGTTCTGTCATTCATGTTTCTTCAATTTGAGATTTTTGATTTATACCTGCTGCTAATTTTAGAGTATCAATATTCTTGGGCAGTTGACATGCAACAAAGATGTGATCCAGCGATTCAAAATTCATCACATTTCTGCTTGTTTTTAATCAGATATTGAGTTGCGGACTTAAAGGCACTTCGTTTGTCGTAATTGTCAACTGATTATGGAGCTGGGCTCTTTGTGTGCACAATGACTCTATTGATACATTGCTGGAATGAATCCATTGAGATATATAGTTGCACGATACACTGTCTACTTCATCTTGCGTAGAATAATGAACTACATGATCTTAGTGAAACGAAGAAAGAATCAGGGTAATGTTCATGAGTTGTCTATGAATCAAGATCGTAGATCATGAATATTTGGACCGCTGATGAACCATTGTTCTTGCCTTTTATTAACAGTCCAGAATATGAATTATATTTTTGTAACTGATCATATAGTCCGTCTGTTACTCGATACTCTTAGGTCATCTATGTGAATAACTTATTTATTTCTTTGTGCTCTTTGTTAATCTTTCACAGGGCTGGCTAATCTCTCGGTCACAGTTTAGAAGTTCATTTTGTTGACTCGAATTGATATTTATGACTTGTTTCTTTTTATCCATCCTTTTAATTAATCAAAACATTGCCCTTTATTAATTCGGTGAAAACATGATCACGTAAGCATTCCACGGATTATGGCGAACATAGATTGTGGAAGCAATGACTCTGATCTCAAGCGATACATGAACTTGAGGGTTCTCTCAATGGCTCATTAGTTGAGCTTGATCAGCCATTGTTGCTAGTTCTGCATTTACCGTAGCTTTCTATTGATACTACTCGAAGGGGAAATGGCTCTTCTAGGTCCCTTTCCTTCTCTTATGTGTTCCTGCTAGTTACAAAGGTGATGGTTTTAAAATCTTCGTCAATCATTCACGTGTTCGGTACTATGTACTTTCGGCCATCAATGTGAATAACTTATCTATTACCTTTTGCTTTTACTATTCTTTTTGCAGGGTTTGCTAATCTCTTGGTCACAGGTTAGAAGTATGTTCTGTCAACTTGAATCGATCCCTACGACTTATTTCCTTGTATTCATCCTTTTAATTTATCAAACCTCTCCATTCATCCGGTGAAAACATGATCGTCTATCCATGCTATGGAAGATGAACACTGATTGCAGAAGCAATGACCCTGATCTCAAGCAAGAGACGGAGAAGCAATTCACAGACTTCCTGATCTCAAGCAATGACACTGGTATGTGTCCTGTTCATGTTATTTTTCCATATCATGTATTATGCTATTGAAGGATTGTGAGTTCTATTATCTTTACCAATATTTCATGAGCATTCATCAGAGGAAACTGATCATCACAAGTGAAGATGAGGCCACTCTGTATGCACAATAATAGTCTTTCTTTGTTCATCGACAAAAAATACACACTCTTTTAGGTCAAGTGACTCTTGACTTGCATGAGTGCACAAGAACCAGCTTAATCCACATGTTTTCCCATGAAATCATACATGAAATCAGGACCACTGAGTATATATATATGATCTCTGGGATATACTCTCTACCCGTATAAATGTTCGAAACTGGATCTGGATTTTGGATCGAACAGACATGTATCTATGATATCTTCCATCATTTTCAAGTCTCAGGAGAAAACAGATTAAGCAGCAAAATGTACCTTGGGTTGCAAGAAACCATGTCCCCAAATCAAGGGGATCGATTCTTGGGGACGATGCAACAACCCTTTTTCAACGCAGCTACCCTTTTCCTGAATCTCAAGCATTTGTTGTGTTTCGTTTCTGTAATACTGGGGTTAGCATTAAGTTGTTTTGATCTCCTTGCAGAATTCATCTCCATGGTGTTTATGAAATTGTTTAGGTGTTGGATGTATTCGGGGTACGATTCCAGGTTGCAATGGCCGCCACCCTTGACCCATAAAGGCTCGTACTTTTCCTTGGAAAGTTCCCATAATCGCTTCCCGTGAGACCAGTCAACCGTTTCGTCATCCGTACCCTGGAATAGTTTATCAATGACGGCATGAATATACAAACACGATGCAACTAATCGGAGGGAAGATATACTTACATGTATAACTAGAACCGGACAAGTGACCAGTCGGATTTTGTCAATATTCTGTATATATTTAGAAAGGGCTTCCTCAGTATACAGATCAAAATACTTGTAAAGTTCGCAGAGGAATGGAAGATTTTCACTTACTTTAAATATATCGAACCAAAATGACATCTTAACAGGATACAAGACCCGTATGCCAGAAAGTATGGCGCTATGAAGAACGACTCCTCGTAGTTTCGGCAAACGAGCAGCCAAGTGGAGAGTAGGTCCGCTTCCGACGGATTGGCCGTAAAGTATCAAATCTTCCTGCTTAACCCCATGCTCCTTCTGCAAACAATTGTACACGGCCTCTATGTCATAATATGTGTTGAGCTCAGTTGGCTATTCCAATGGCAGAAAACAAAAGAAAACAAACTTATAAGGTATCAAAGATTAGTCCCAAAGTAATTTAGTGAAAATAAAAGAAAAATAAAAACATGCATAGAGATTCATTTACCTTGCCAGAGGATGCTCCATACCCTGAATAATCATAACTGCAAGCAAAAAGTGAAAGAAAATTATGAGAAAAATGTTCAATTCAGCCATTAACGTACATGAACTAGAAAAAACAACTCCAGACTTCAATAAACATAAAACCAACACCAAAAAGAAAGTACATTTCAAGAAAACTTAACAATTTCATCAAAGATTCATGATAAAAGAGTACCTCATAATATTGACACGAAGATGGGCTCTGAGTTCATAAAAGAGTTCATGCATCTCACCGATATCAGCAGCATTGGCATGAGAATACAAAAGGGTAAACCTGGCAAAAGGGTGTCTCCAAAACGTGGCCACGATCGTATTACCACCTCTGGTATCGAGCAAATGAACATCCATGTTCTTGTCAGCCGTTACCCCGGGCAAAACCAGCTTCCCATTTTCTTCCCTGTAAACTTGGTACGTTGGAGGATCTGGTGGGAAAAATGCAAGCTTTGCAGCCAAAATCGACGTCATATTACCCATTTTCACAACATAGACCAAACTATATTAACAAAAAAAAAAAGGAGAAGAAAACAAAACAAAAAACCAAGGTTTCCTTTTTTTAGATAAGAAACTGGAAAACAACACATGACATGAACATGTTTGCAGAAGAAAACAAAAGCTTGGTTTAAAGGGTGTTGGTTTCTTCTTGTGCTTTCTTAGAATTTTTCTTTTGGTTTTAAAATTTTCTGTTGCTTTTCCCGTTGTGGTGATTGGTGATGGGTGGTTCCCCTTACCTTTTCTTTTATGGGGTTTTGTTTATTTAATTATATATAATATACATACGTCATAAGGTGTTTACTGGGGATGATGGAAAGGCAACAATCCAAAGGTGAAAACTTGAAAGGGAAAGGAAGATCCGTTCTAAGCGGGTGAGCTGGAATTTTATTCTAGAGAGATTGCTAGATACCCATACATGCTTTATTTTTTAATTTTTTACTTTTAGGGTAAACTACAATACTAGTCACTTGACTTTTAAGTTTCTTTCACTTTGATCACTAAACTTTTAAAATTTATATTTCAGTTAATAATTTTTTACTTCGATTTTACTATAATCGATATATTTAGTTGCCGTTAAGAAATATTGTAGCACGTTAAAGTCCTCTCTCTCTAATTTTTTTCTTCTAAATTGACAATCGTCATTCAAAGTCAACTTTTAAATGAACAAAATGGTCGTGAATTAATGTCAACGATGAAAATGACAAAAAAAAAAAACTTTAAATTCCTTTACTGTGTTGGAATTTGAGTTTAATCTCTTGATTTCATTTTATTTTGGAATTTGTTTTAGACATTTGGTTGACATATAAATTTATTAATTAAATATAGTCTATCGAATTTTCATGTAGTTCTAATTTTTTGATTTAATAACTGTAAAAATGATATTTATTGCATCTCTAGCGGCAGCAACTAATATATTTATCTTGGACCTAGTAATAATATTATATAAGTAGGGGACTAAATTATGTCAAACTAAAGTAGAAAAACTAAATCTCGAATTTCAACATCATAGAGGAACCAAAACCATAAATAGACCAATTGGAAAATCATTTGCACAGATAGATAGATGTCAAATTTCTAACAAAATTTTCCAATATGAGTCCTTGTCTTCCTGTTGGAGAGACATCCAAGTCTAAACTATTTGTTCAATTCCCTTTATGGTTAACATGTTGTAGGTAATAGATACAATTGTTACATTAAACGAACATATCACAATAATTAAAAAAATCATTTAATTGTTACATTAAAGGACCCAACTATGTCAAAATGAAAAAGGGTTAAATCTCAAATTTCAATATCATAGAGGTACTAAAACCATAAATACACAAATTAAAAAAAATATTTGGAATTAATAGAATTTGTTCAGTTTCCTTTTATCCTCCAAGGACTATGGTTAAGACGTTGCAGAACATATATACTTTTGTTGGTTCCTAATCCGTCTTGATCTTATATTCATCGGTTAAACAAAACTACTGAATCAGATTGAACATATCAGAAGAACAATAAAAAGAAGACTTGGTGTTACTGAATGCAGAATGTATAAATGATCTCAGGACAACAAAATTTTATGTTTAACATGAAAATATGGTTCAGAAAAATCAGTTATATGAGCCAGCTCCATGGTTACCGGTTAGGGTTCTCGCAACATCCTGCAGACAGATGAACAAAAATGGATTTCTTCTTTTTAAGGCCTTCGCAAGAGAATCAAATCTCACCAGAGAGAGAACGAGAGAGAGATCATTTACCTTATAAAATCAGCAATCTGCAAGAAATATAAGCGATGGATTCTCTAGCTATGCTGCTTTTCTTTCATCCATTCTACAAAATTGTCGAGAATCAACGGCCAAGCTAGGCATGAATCGTAATTTCCAAGATCGGGAAAGCTAATCTGAGAGCAAAGGTTCAGAGTTATCATAAATGGGCAAACAAATACTTCATCACATATCAGGCTTAGTTCAGTTCTATCAATGCAAGTATATAGATAGTATAGTTGTAAACCATTACAAAAATTGCATGAGGGAAAGAAATATTCATGTTAATGAGTTTTCCGGGAAATAACGGCAAACATCTACAATTTTCTTTTGAAAAGGCTTACCTCTTGGAAAAAACGTAGAAAGTTTTTCCACTGGTCCAAATTTATTACTCTGTAATCACTCTGGACCTAACAGCAAATCAAGTCCAGGCATTATAAATATGTCATCAGACACATGATCTGATAATTTGTAATGCATCTGATCTGCATATCTTTTGTAAATATGAATGAATAACAGCCCAACCTTTAGATACTCGATTAGTGAATCAACCTGAGGACGAAATTGGGCACCAAGAACAAGATTCAACAGTTCACAGATGCTTTCAATGTCCAAGCTCTTCTGCTTCTCCTCTGAAGCAGTTGATCGATGTCAGCTTTTTATTAAAAGAACAAATTACTACAAAAGTGAAGCCGGCTTGGTGAAAAAGATAGGTTTCGTTCATTCAATTAAAGGGCAAACCTGTTAGGCAATATCGAAATGCATAGGTATAGAAATCCTCATAATTTGATGGCTTCCCCACCTTTTAGTTTTCAGATATAGAAAAAGCTAAATTCAGCACTACCACTTAACTGCTCACTTGTCAACTAGAAAATAACTTTACAAGAAAGCAGTAACTGTTGCAACAGATACAGGTAACAAAGTACCTCAATCTCCAGCAGAGGAAGTGCCTTTTTTAGTTTGCTAAGTGAATCGACCCCCAATGCTTTCATGCCAGTTCGCCACTCATCCTGATTCAGTGCAAAAGAAGGAAGAAAAAAAAGGAGTGGTCATACATCTAATGTGAATGTCGGTTCAAAATTTCTATTATAGCATCCATCAAATACAGCATGTCATATAAGTTGTGCTTCTAATGACCTGGGTAAAAAAGCCCTGCTTTGCAGCTTTTAATTTCCTGAGATATGCAGAACACATAATGTTAGAAGATTCTCAGACCAAATGACCGGTACGGTTAAATACACAGAATATTACATACCAAGCAAGCATCAATATCCTCACATCAGTGTAGTCCACTCCTAGATCTGAACAGAGTGCTTCAATACCATCCGGACTGCTCAAGCAAACAAAGCGCATTAAAAAGAGTATATGCATCATGCATGCAACCCTTGAGATGAAACATATATATGTTAATAAAATAAAGTGTGGAGAAAATATGTTACAACCAATAATTTAAGAAGGTTCATGTGCTTTTCAATGGCATTATACCAAAACCACATTACCACAATTTAAAACATGAAAGAGATCAGATGTATTGGCTTGTTCTTCATTTTTATCTAAGGGAACCAATTGCGATTGACTGTAGCTAGAGACAAAAAAAAACCTGATACCATTTCAGTAGCTTTACAAATAAAAAGAATGTAGACGGGAAATACTTACTCAATCACGCCCGATGAACTATTTGCATATGAATTGAACAAACGATCTATTTTTTCGAGCCCCTTTGTTTTAGCTTTACTCAAGACTGAGAAAAAGAAATATACCATTATCTAACTAGAATACCGGGCACTCCAACAAAACACCACAACAGGGTAGTCAAATAATATCGAGCATATTCAAGAAACAACTCTTTCAGCCTTAATCAAGTAAGAACAACCAACATTATCATTATTTTATCTTTTTTAACAAACATAATTTACAAATAACATATGCAGATCATAAAATCAATATTAACATAACAGACCCCTTTTTTTGTAAGAATCTCCCTAACATATCAATTACTTCTATTTTTCAAAAGTTGCAGTGATGGGTTACACCTGAAAAATTCTTGATAAATTCCAGTGAAGGCTTAATAAGCTGCAATTACATTCAGTCAAGATAATTATCAACACCACCAATCAAAGAATAGTCGAATCAGATTTGATATGACATTAATCAATCAAAGAATAGTCGAATCAGATTTGATATGACATTAATCAATTTAGATTATATTCTAGGAAGTTTCTTTGCTGAAGGTTTCTTTTCTTTGTTTTAAACAAATTTTCAATCATATGTTCTTATTTCCCGCTATTTTTGAGAAACCAATCAGAATAGAATAAATCGAAATTCGCATTCGAACCCAAACATCTATATAACGCTAATTACAGTTAATAACGTTTTTCATCAGAGATAAATTAACCAGGGTTACTACGGATATCGCTAAAATTCTTTTATTTTCTTTAACCCTTTTTTCCCGCGGTTTCTCGCGTACCAAACACGGCAAAATCTCTTCTTTTTTTCCAAAATGGAAAAAAGTAAATAAGAAAGGGGAAATTGGGGTACCAGAACGACCGTCGGATGATGTGACGGATGAGGAGTTGGGTGGGGCCGTCTTTCGCTTAGATGCGCGAGGTGGCATGGCGTTAAGGCGGAGGAGAAAGTAAACCACAGCCGCTTGATTTGATGACCAAAATTGAATTGACCAAAGGTTTGAAAAACCAAGAACCCTAGATCCCAATAATATTTGAAACTGGGAAAATTTTAATAATTGAAGAAAGATGAGTTCTTTAAAGGACGGGGAAAAGAAAAGACGGCGTGTGAATGTTACAGGGAAGCGTTTTCTTTTCGTGTTCTTCAACGCGCGCATCCGCACGTGTATTGTAAACTGCCGGTAGGCCCATTGGGTCAAACTCAAAACTCCAATCCATCTTAAAATGAGAAAAATGTTAAAAAAAAATAGCCCAAAATATTATTCTTTTTAGTGGATTATATACGACTAAATTATAAGTTAAAAATGATGAAACTGATAAATATAAAATTAAATCTATAAATAATATGAGAATTAATAATATTTTTAGTAATTAAATTTTGGGTTAAAATTGAATTTTCAAAATTTAATAAATATTAAAATTAAAAACGAGTTTATTTATGATTATAAGGTGATGTATGTTTAATATTTTTTTAATATATACAAATGTTGAATTTAATACCTTTAAGACAAATAATTTTCTTTTTACAATTAAGATCACTTATGAATTTTTCTATTATTTGATGAAGATTTTATAAATTATTCGTTATAATTTATAAATACTTATAATTTATAAATACTGAATACAATCACTAATATTATTCATTATAGAAATTTTATTATTATTAATTTTAAAATCACCTCACGGTTTCTTATTGAACATGTTGTTTACATTGGTTAAAAACAAATATTTAAAAGATATTGACGCAAAAAGTTTAGTTTTACTCCAATTTAACATCGTTTGATAAGTATAAAATAATAGTCATAATTAAAAAGTTAAAAGTAAAAAAGAATTTACATATGAAAATAAGTTATCAATGTCGACGAGATATACATCAATAACGATCTTTAATAGGAAGTTATCTTATAAAAAAATTAGATGTTTAAATTTTAAAAAACTTAAAGTAACTTATAGGAGTATTCAAAAGGTTAACTCGACCACCGATCAAATCGAATTAATCAAAATCAAAGTAATCAAAAAAAATTAATTGTTCATCGAATTGAATTCTTTTTTAAAAATTATTGACCAGACCGAAGACAATTCGTTTAGTTTGGTTTTAAACTTTTTTTTAGTTAGATTAATATGAGTTTAATAGAAGTATAATTGTTGTTTAGGTTAAAATTTGATCGTCTTAAAATTTTAATGACTTTAATGAAATTAAACAATAGTTGGGTCTTACTTTTAATTGATTTGAGCTTAATATATACATGTAATGTATACAATATATTAATATATAAATATTTTTTGTCATTTAATTAATATAATTAATTAATTAAATTTTGATTCAACAGTTAATTCAATTAAAATCGAACAATAAACTTCTTTAATAACCTACTAACCAGACTCGACCCAAATATCAAGCTCTGCTGAATTTTATTGGCTTTTGGAACTCTTTTTCTGATAAACGGCCAGAGACCTTCCACGTAGCACTACAAAAACTTTTGCCGGCAAGATTATTTCCCGCCTAAACCCTCCAATCATATTCATCATACATAATGATCACTGTAAAAATCGAAATAATAGCACGAAAAAGAGAAGAAAAAAAAAATAATCCTTTCGTCTCTTTGATAATCCTTACATCTCTTTGTCCCTTCCTTCAAATCTTTGTCTTTCATGGAGTCTCAAAAATAACAGATTATGAACGTAAAAGACTTGAAAACAGTAAGAGAAATGAAGAGATGGTGGCAGCACTCGAGATACACTCAAAAGCCGCCACTCTCTTCGCCTCCAAACGCCAAAGGTAACACGAATCTATCTTCGTTTTTTCATTTTTTTCGTTACAATAATTTGATGTTAAGATTCTTAGTATTTTCTTAACGGCTGTATCGTAGAACAAAATCGTATAAAGTGAGTCCTGTGAAGAAACCCAAGACGTAGACCCCAATCGTAATTCGACGGTCGTTGCGAACAAGAGGTATGCCACCGGATTCAAAAGGTTTGGCTGATGATTTTAGTGAAGATTTTAATAAAACCCCGAAATCTGTTAGCCCTTTAAAGCCACGATCGCCTCGAGTTTTGGGTCCTATTGGTATGAAAGATGCTTACACTGGAGACGAAATAGAGTCTAATCAAGTATTGGTTGGGACAATTTTGAGTATCGCAAAGGATACCCATGTTGATACCTCGATCAAAGAAGAGTTTAATGATATTAAAGATGAGAACTGCAGTGATTTTAGTGGGAAAGGAACATTGGGTTCTTGCAAAAGTGAGGCTTTTGAATCAACTGCTAAGGAAGAGTTCGATGAGAATTTGAGTGGAAAAAGAAAGTCGATTAAGCGCGTGGTTAAAACTGAGCATTTGGACAGTTTAGTTAACATTGAGAAGAGTGATCCATGGCTGGAATCATTGGATTTGAAAACGAAACATGTAGCACGGATTATGCCCGGAAGGATTATGGTGGTTAAGTGTTTCCCTAGCAGTAGTATGAGTTTGATTGCAGCTGGGAACAAATTTGGGAACAATGCCTTTTGGAATGTGGATTCTAGGGATGATGGCATATATCTTTATCACCCGCATTCCGGTCCTATTTCCGGGATTTTGATTCAACAATATTCAATGTCAAAGGTACTTTGAGTTTCGAACTTTATGTATTATACCAAGGTTTTACTTTTGAGTTTTTGATTTCAAGTTTACAATTTCCTTAAGGGAATCCATATTTTTGGATGCAGATTTATAGCAGCTGCTATGATGGGTTTATTCGATTAATGGATGCCGAGAAGGAAATATTTGATCTGGTGATTTCCTGTGATGATACTGTATATTCTCTCTCTCAACAGCCTAATAATTCGGCAAACCTATATTTTGGCGAAGGTCATGGAGGATTGAATGTTTGGGATATTCGGACCGGGAAGTCAAGCAACAACTGGATGCGCCATGAAGATAGGATCAACACCATAAACTTTAACTCACAAAACCCCAACAGTATGGCAACCTGTTCAACGGATGGCATTGCATGCATTTGGGGTTTAAGAAGTATGAACTCTCGTAAACCCAAAACCTTGAGGATTGTGAGCCATAATAGGGCTGGTCACTCTGCTTACTTTTCACCCTCTGGAAGCTCTCTAGCTACAACTAAGTATTTGCTTTCTTATTAACCCTCTAGTTAACTAATACCTTTTGTCTCAAAAAAAGCAACTTGCTTTGCAGGACAGAGCGTATTATATGTCATATTATGATTGACTTGCACTAGGTGGTTCTATGATGTTACCTTGTTTATTAATTGTGTCCTTTTGGCAATGGAAATTATTGCTTAATTTGGTGAGATATTATAGATAAGCGAGCAATATTGTTACATGTGATCATAAAAGGTCTCTTGGACTTCCATTTGAGAGCAAACAACTGAGTTATTTGTAATAGGGGATAAGCAAGCAAGTCTAGTTTCATAGATTTAAGTTATTGGCTGATTTATCCGTGGACCTCTTATAGGAGTGTCGTCGAAGTTCTGCATATTTAGAGGTCATCCCTCTGTCTCCATGAGTTAGATATGGGTACTTCACGAGGAATTAAGGGTCTAAGCAAACATAGGTTCTAGTTGCATTGGACAATCAACAATTAACTTAATGAAAGCAGTGTTTCATTTGATTTTGCCCCTGTTGGACTAATGTTGTTGTTTGCCAGCGTCGGTATAACAAGTGGACCCAATTTTGAGGACACTTGTTTGGTATACCATAATAATTGGGCAGGAAGACGGATTTCTTCTTTCAGGTACATCTATGTTCTTCTCAAATACTCTGCTCGGTGTTCTGTTGTGTACTCAACTATGTCTAAGTTCTAATATTATATACATACAATATGTGTATTTGTATGCAGAGGTATTTGAGGGTGGGTTGATTCATACATCTTCATTGGCAACATGAAAAGAGGTGTTGATGTGATCTCCCCAGCACAACGGAGAACTGTAATGACATTACAGAGTTCGGAAATGTCTGCAATTCCCTGCAGATTCGATGCACACCCTTATGAGGTCGGGATGTTAGCAGGAGCCACCAATGGGGGTCATGTTTATGTATGGACACCATCACCATGTTAGAAAAATCTGGCTTTTGTAGGAATCTGTGATTTGTACTTGGTAACTGATGTTTTTGTCTGAAATTATTAGCCAATATTATCACATATCTGCTTCTTGTATCCTTTTGTTATAGACAGTTGTATGAAGCAGGACATACTTGCACTACTTCAGTGTATGGCGTGTATTCTCTGGTAATCATATTTACAATTTATGAATTTGTTGAAACACCCCATAACTGAAGATGCCATTGCCCTCAAAATATGAATTCGGGTTACAAAATATAGGTCTAATTATGATTTGGGTCCAATTATCACGTTGAATTTAAGATTTTTAGTGAAGGAACCAGTCAGAATTAAACCCTTAAAATGAAGACATAAAAAAATACGCCGTTGCCGGGGATCGAACCCGGGTCACCCGCGTGACAGGCGAGAATACTCACCACTATACTACAACGACTTGATGCCACTACAACAGAAAATTGGTATTCAGCTTGTGACATTTGACAATAGGTTTTGTTAACGTTGGCACTATAGTAAAGAGCTTACTTTCTTCATTAGCAGTGCCAATCCCCACCTCACCACTCTCTCCGCCTCCACCGTGAAACCCACCGTCATCTTCGCCACCCCATCGAACTACGCCGCCAGACTCTCCGACCTCCTCACTCTCAAAGGCCACAATCCTCTCTGGTGCCCCACCATCACCACTTCCCCAACTTCCCAATCACTATTCCCCTACCTTTCCCCATCCTCCCTCTCCCTCTTCTCCGCCGTCGCCTTCCCTTCACGCGCCTCCATCACCTCCTTCTCCCTCGCAGCCACTTCTCTCCCTAAACCCCTCCTCCCCTCTCACGGCCTCACTCTCATCCTCGCCGCGCTAGGCAAAGATTCAGAGCTAATCGATACCCCTTTCATCTCCCAAATTTGTTCCAATTTATAACGGATTAAAATTCTAGTCCCTCCCATCGCCACCCCTAACAGCTTAGCCTTGTCTTTCGGGGAAGGATACGGTCGAAAAGTATTATGTCCAGTTCCGAAAGTCATCGGACTAAACGAACCGCCGGTCGTCCCGGATTTTCTCAACAATTTGAAGAACGGTGGGTGGTTCGCGTCGACGCCTATGAGACCAGATGGTTGGGACCCGATTGTGTTAAGGGAGTGGTGAGAAAAGGGCAGGAGGAGAAAGAAGATGAAGTGTACGCCATTGTTTTTACGAGTATTGGGGAAGTGGAAGGGTTTTTGAAGAGCTTAAAGGAGTTGGGTGGGATTGGGGGATGGTCAGAAGGAGGTGGCCGCGTTTAGTGGCGGCGGCTCATTGGCCGGTAACGGCGGCGGGGGCGGAGAGGTTGGGGTGTATGTCGACGTTGTGAGTTCTGATTTTGGCAGTTTTCAAGGTGTTGTTGACGCGCTTGACATGCATTTGAAGGGTTTAGAGATGTAATTTTGATTGACAGCCAATTTGAGTTATTTAATAATACATAGTTCTTTTTTTATTATCGTTCTTCAATTCATTAAGATTGAATACTGCAAATATTACAATTTTAATTTTTCTTCTTCAAAATAATATATATTATGATTAGTAAGACGATTCACAACCAAATCAAAAACACAAATGAAATATATACTATTTCACTTGCTCTAATTGACAGAAACCTATATACCAAACTGTATATGCATGGTTGTGAAGCACACCATATCGCAACTCTCCTTTTAGAAGCAGTTGTGTTTATCATTTACCTTTGGCCTTCAACCCCGAAAGAAGCTTCAATACATCTTCCATGGAAGGCCTGTCTACTGCCCTGCTTTTGGTGCAGAGGAGAGCGACATCAACAACGACTTTTATTTCTTCTTGCAATGAATTGGTGGATTCGGCTTCGTTGTCATGGTAAATTTCTCTCAGAACAACATCCTTTGGTTTGCCATGAATGCTTGCTCCACCATTTATCAACCTACCATTACTTAGTATTTCCAGAATTATCTCCCCAAAGTTGTATATGTCTTCGTATAGTTCCTCTTTGATACAATCATTGGATTCACCTGTTTCAAGCACCAAATAAGATTTCAAGAAAGACCCTTTTTTTGTTCTTTTCTATATGTACTTTGAATTCGGGTATGGGTCGATTTCGAATTGTTGACTGTTTTAAATGAAGGAAGGCATGGAATGTGAATAGATAATGTACCTGCTGCCAATCTAGAAGTTGCTGGAGCTGTACCTTTGATCAACTGCATCAGATGCTTAAACCCAACATCAGCTAAACGGGGTTCGGAATTATCATCGAAGATCACATTACTTGACTTCAGATCACCATGAGGAATTGCAGGTTTACAGTCATGGTGAAGGAAGCAAAGTCCCTTTGCAATTCCGATCATAATCCTGCACTTCATACCCCAATCTCTTTGCATTCTCAGCTTCTCAGCTAAATTTCCATTAGGCAAGTAATCATACAGCAGGTAAGTCATCTGTTTGTTGTAGCAAAAACCAAGTAATCTGATCAAATTCATGTGCCTTGCACTTCCTAGTTGTGTTATAGACTCCGAGGCAACCTTCACTCTCTTCGGTTCCCATTCTAGCTTTTTCACCAACACAGTAATCCCAGTAGGCAGCACTGCTTTGCAAAATGCACCAGAATATGGTGGCAGTTCTTCCATGGAATTAGCACAATCGAAGCTCCTCAAGATGTCGTTGGCAGTAAACTGAGGGAGACCAATAAACGAGTTCATTTGCCATTGCCCTTTGCTTCCTTTTTGACGATAAATTAGCCCGAAAATTATTGCTGCCATGAGTATGACTGCTCCTGCAGATACCAACAGTATCAACCTAAGCTTTTTCCCGTTGATTGGGTTTGAACATGATTTCAGAGGTTTCCCACATAGCTCTGGGTTCCCAATGTATGCACTTCTACCCATTGATCGCAGCACTTTTTTCGAAGGTATGGTACCTGAGATATCATTGTATGATACATTCAAAAGTACTAAGCTTGAAGACTTGCCGAACTCCACAGGTATCGAACCAATGAGATCGTTATGAGACAAATCCACAAAAACTAGAGAAGGAAGACTAGCAATCTCCTTAGGGATATGACCACTTAAATGATTGCTAGCTAAGTTAATCATCTCAAGTGAATGGCAATCTGAAATATTTTTCGGGATCGATCCCGAGATATTGTTCATTCGCAATTCGATGACAATAATGGACTTGCATGATCTAAAAGGAGGCAGATTCCCTGAGATGTTACAATATGATGCAGAGAAATTTTGAAGAAATGGCAAAGACCATGTATTTTCTGGTATGATTCCCCCTAGTTCTGGATTATTAGAGACACTGAAATACTGAAGCTTTAAAGCTCGAGAAATATCGGAAGGAATTCCACCAGTGAACCTGTTCTTGGACAAATCTATGTATGTGATATCAGGAAAATTACTGAACTTCAAAGGAATCTCACCTGAAAACGAATTATCCTCGACTCGAATACGAACGAGAGACGAACAATTAGACAAAGGTGGCAGATTGCCTGTGAAGTTGTTTGAAAAGAGCATCAATTTAAACAACTTACCACCTGCACAGATACCAGGTGGAATACTGCCAATGAAACTATTGTTTGAAACATCCAACCATCTAAGCTTGGAGTTCATCCCCAAGTTTTTCGGAAGTGTTCCAGTGAAGAAATTGTTCCATATAAACAGAATTTCCATTGATGGAAGCTCAGCTAAGCTTTCTGGGACAGTGCCATTCATTTCATTAAACATAAGACTAAGCAATCTCAGATTCTTCAGCACTGCAAAACTCTCAGGAATTGGCCCAGAAATCAAATTATCAGAGAGATCCAAGTCTATGAGAGGAACTATTCTGCTGAACTCCCATGGGATCGGTCCAGTGAGCCGGTTTCGGAAGAGAAAAAGTGACTCGAGCTTGGTTAGATTCGAGAGTTCCCTCGGGATTGAACCGGAAAGATTTGAACCAGCAATATCCAGATATTGAAGCTCGCTCATGTTGCTCAACTGCCATGGTATATTCCCTTCATAAAAATTGTACCCAATCTCCATATGCGTCACCGTTTTGAGATTCCCGAGCTCCGGCGGTATTTTTCCGGTGAGGGAATTCCCTGCTAAGTGGAGATATTCAAGTCTCTTGAAAGACCCATATGAAGATGGGATTGGACCATCAAAGTAGCTACCGGCTAAATTGAGAACCTTTAGAGATTCAAGCTCAGTAACCTCAACCGGCAATGGCCCAGAAAAGCTGTTGCTAAGAGCATCAAAATGAACCAGGTTTTTCATACTGGTGATTCCCCTCGGAAACCGGCCGGAAAAGTTGTTTCCACTGATATCTAAGATTCTCAGGTTCGTGAGGTTGAAGATTTCCACCGGAATTTCACCGGAGAAAGAGTTTTGACTGATGTTGAGACCAGCAAGCTGAGTTAAAACACCTAGTTGCTTTCCGGGTAACTTGCCAGCAAGATTCTTCATACAAAGGTTTAAGCTTGTAACAATGGTGGAATTTTCGTTGCATTCAACACCAGACCAAGAACATGCAAGTATTTTCCCAGAAATATTTCCCTCGGAAGGCACTTTCCAATCATCCAAACTCTTGGAATCATCAATAATCTCCGATTTTAAGCTCAACAAAGCATCTGAATAAGGATCAGCGGCCAACACTACCGCGATTAACATGAAAAAAATCAAGAGATCGAAGTACGACCATATCAAAATCTGCATTGGAATTCACAACGAAGAAACAAAGAAAAAGGGTCAGCACTCAGCTGAGTTCACTTCAAGCTGTTGATTCTTTGTTCTTGTTAGAAGATGAATTGGAAAGCATGGGAAATAGGGAAAGCAAGCATAAAAAAGAAATAGATGACATATAATCATCTGTTGCTATGAGGAATATTGTTTGTGAATTGCTTTTGATGGGGTCTGAAAGTTTGAATGACAGCTACTATGAATCATTTCTTTGGACCGTTAATGATCATTGTTTGCAAGTATCTCAACGTTGAGATAGCATCCATAATCATGAAAAGGATTATTATATATATATTTTTTTAGAATTTTTAAATTCAAACAATTATTAACGTAAAAAGTAAATACATTATTAATAAATAAGAGAAATTCTAAATAAATATTATTTTATAATTATTTTAAATTATTAAAAAAACTCAAATATAATTATACATTCGAATTCGGTTTTATATTAATTCCCATATGTATACCATGAATGTGACAGTATATAGGGTTATGTGCAGAGAAAACATTGTCGAGATTTTTACTACAATTTTTCAACATATGATGATGTCTGAATTGACCCATAAGGGGTAATGGGCAGAGAACGTTATAGGTAAAGACAAAAGTTGTGATAAAAACGACACCATTTCCCTTGGATTATGATAGCCTTTGGCCTTTTGTGTATTTGAAGGAAACACAAATGCTTAATTCCCATCGTCGTCCTTAATTATGGTTCAGTATTTAAAGATTAACTTAAATTTCAAAATGTTATAATGGAGTCCTCAAATTTATCAATATTGTGTCAATAAAATCCTTTCTGTTCGCTTAATCATAAGCTTAGACGTTAAATGTTAGTTCGAATGTTACGTCAAGCACATTTAAAATACAATAGATTGAATCTTAAACAAGTGCACCTATCAATGTGAGCATGAGTTTTGCTTAGAAAAATTTAAAATTTTGGACTTAGTTTGAGGATATCTAGTGAATTAACCCATTATAAAGGTAACCCCTCCTTGGCATCCACAGCTGCTTATCAGGTTCTACTGCAAATGCAATCCAGTGATTTTACAAGGAAAAAAAAGTAAACTACAACATCACTCAAGTTAGACCATATTCATATTTTAGTCATTAAACTTCAAAATATTATTGTTTGATCATCTAATTTTAGACATTGTTTTCTTATCGTCACTTGAACATTAAATCAAAATTAACAAGACAACGTGACATATTTTTGATGATGCGAAAGTTATGTTTTATATGTTTTATTTTTTTATTTTATTATCTTTCTATGAACTTTAAAATTCTTAGAGTTTTATCTTGAAAATTAAATCAAAATTAACAATATAATGTGACATATTTTTTATGATGTGAAAGTTATGTTTTATATGCTTTATTTTTTATTTTATTATCTTTGTATGAACTTTAAAATTCTTGAATTTTAATTTTATGTTATGTCTTCGTCAAAATTGTCATTTTTGGAGTTTTTTTTATCACTTTAGACATTGAAGGACTCGTCTTATCATTCATTACCACTCTATTAATTTAAAGTTTCTCAAAATCTATTTAAAACTCATGAAACTTAACTCAAAACCTAGAGGAAGATGACTTCGATCGACAATCCTCCATCATCCGATAATCGTTGAGTTAGAATATATTGTCCACCTCCTCTTTCTCCACTTTTTCCGTTGTTGGGATTTAGAATAAGATGAGGTAACATAAGAAAATTAAAGAGAATTAGAGATGTTAGTTTAAAATTTTAAAAAATAATTTCAAGGATATTTACATGAATTTGGAAAAAATGAAGCTTTAGTACATTTTTTTAAATTTTAAAAGATAATATGTTTTTTTCATAAAAATGTTAAATATTTAATGATAGATTAATAGAAAACGTAATAATATTAAAGCTGAATGATAAAAGTAAATTTTAAAAAATTTAATGACCAAAATAAGAATATAATAAAAATAAGGGTGATATTCGGAGTTTTCCAGAAAAAACACTTTGGTGAATACCCCATGGGAGTTGAGGTCTTGTATGATATTTGAACAAATTGTGTAATTGTCTTTTAAAGTTACAAGAGCAACCTTGTCCTTTTCATCTTAAATTTCTACAAAAACAAAATGGAAATGGTCTTTTATACACACACATACACACGTGTGTGCGTGTTTCTGTTTCCAAAGCTTAAATTTTCCAAACTAATGTCCAAATTCATTGTGAAAGAGAGAGACTCCACTTCCCGAGCTATGGCCTGCACAAAATTTTTTCCAAGCGGCCCGTGATTGTGAAGACGACGCCATTAAACCACACCAGATAAATTACTAGTTATTTAAGTATGATTTAATTAAAATTTAAATTTAATTCAAATTTTTAATGAATCGAATCAAACTAATTAATATCTTATTTAAAAAGTTTACGAGCAAATTAAAAAGATAATATATTAAAATTTTATTTTAATAATTAAACTAATGATAATAATATTTATATGTCGTTTCTCTTATAAATGTAATACAAGGTTTTCATATATTTAAGATTCAGGTTCGAGCTTAAACTGAGTTTGAGTTTGAGCTTCAATCAAGCTAAATCTAAAAGTATTTTAAGTTCAAATCTTTTCGAACTCAAGTCGAGTTTTCATTTTTAATTTCGAATTTGAGTCGAACTTGATAATTTTAAGCTTGTCAATTACGAATCGAGTCGAGCTTGACATTAAATTTTTCAAATGAAATCAAACTCAACAATATTCAAACCCGACTCATTTACAATCTTAAATAAGAGGACTGAGTAATAGAAGCGAAAGCAATGCTAATATATGTCTAGCCTTATAACGATAGGTTTAAACTTTTAATTTGATCATAATTTCGTCCACATAAAAATAAACCACAAATCATAGATTAACTCCACAATTTTCTATCGTCTAAATCATTATGATCCGATCCCTACATATTCTTCATCAACAATTATTATTTCCACGTACATCTACTTTCTATTTAGGATTTTAGGTAAAGTTTCACAACCTCATATTCCAATCTCATGCCTATTCGTCATTATGATTTCTTTGAAAATTTTCTTGTTCTTTATTATTTAAAGTCATTTTAAGAGCGCTTAACTTTGATTTTTGTTCTTTAACCCAACACCATCGATAATTAAAATGGAAGATATATTATCAATTATTAATTAATTTGATAGAATAACGTGCTAGATTTTTTAGAAGTTAAAAATTTAATTCTCACATTGTAAATAAAACAAATTAAACTTAAAGATAACTTTTGTAATAAAACATCAATTATTAATATATATTATAAAAACATAAAAGATTGTGTTAATACTGTTTAACAGTCAGAGATGGATATAAAAAGGAGAAAGGAGATCAAAAGGATTCCCCATGAAAGGGTTGAAAAAGACGCAGCACTCGCCGCTGAACACAACTTTTTAAGGGGAAAATGTTGAACTTTGAATTGGATTCCCACTCTAATTGTCAAAAGATAAATACGATTTATACCATACAAGTATTGTAAGTACTTTTTTTTTTAATTGAAGAAAATATTGAAAAACCAATAATCAGTTAGTCTAGTGGGATGAGGTACTATGTCTCTCAAGTAAGATCAGGGTTCGAATTCTGACGTTTGCGAATGGAGCAAACTGGGTTGGGAGGGTTGCCCTCGCCTCTGCAGTACCCGATTTAGTCGGTCAATAGATCGAATATCAATGATTAATTTAAAAAAATATATATTGTAAACGCGAATATATAAAAATTTATATAACAAAAAATAAGGCGTGAATATATAGTATATGATAAAACTTATGATATTTTGACTTTTTTTATATCAAGAAATAAATATTGTAATTACCCTCTTAAGGATAGTCAATTTATTTAAATTATATAGGTCTTGATACAAAATATTAATATAATTATCCTTTATATTTTTTAAAGATAATTGTTATAAGGTACCTCTCTTTATTATTATTATTATTATTATTATTAATTAGTTATTTATTTTATCGTATAAAAATAAAATTTCTTTTATATTTATGTTATATTAAATGTGAATTTTAACTCTAAAATTTATATAAAATGGAATTTACCTAAACTTGGAATTGAGTGTTAGGTGGATGGATATAATATTTAGATGAATTTAGATCTAAAAATATTTGGTCTGACTCGATCCATGATCACCGCTACTTGTAATTATATTAATTCTCACTTTTCTCGTGTTAAAAGACTTCAATTTTACTAAATTCAAAAAAAAATCAATAAATTATAATAAATGTAATCACACAAAATCTAATTATAAAATCACATTTCAAAGAAATCTAGATCAACTTGAATGGTAATTCTTTGAATACACTTGTACAGACTCGTAACAAGAAAATGAGCTCAAAATTTATTAAAATGTTACATAAATTGAATTAGGCTCACTAACTGCAAGCATTAAAATATTTGAATTTGATATTTCCAAAAGTTTTGAGTCTAACAACATAAGGGTTAGTAGATGACGTTTTGGTGCAGTATTGGTATGGAAAAAAAAGCAGCTTTCTTTACTCATCAAGTCAGTAACTTTGGACTTCAACTATCGTATTTCAAGACCTCAAAAACGTCACCTTCATCAAATGTCTATGGAAAATACATAAATGTTACCCATAAGAGAGAACACCTAAGGCCTTGCCTTGCAACTATTTAAGTAGATGCCATTCATAATTTTCCATCATATACATTGCAAGAGTATACATCAATAGGATCACCGCACCGGTCACCTCACCGCCGATTATATAGATCTTCGACCCCGACAAGATACAATCAAACGGGGCTTGATTTCCAGATATGTCCAAATTTTCAAGTAATCAAAAACCGATAACATGGTTGACTGAGAGATTCCTTGTATCAGCAAAGAAGACCATCATTCCGTCGATTTCCTCACCAAAACACACTACACAATTCTTGCACCAATTCTCCCAACCATCCATGGGCCATTTGTCCATTCCTAAAGGCCCCACAAAATCTGGAGTCGGAATCTTCTTTCCACCAGTGCAACAATTCAGGTGACTTTATTCAATTTTCAGGATGGCCGAGTGGTCTAAGGCGCCAGACTCAAGTTCTGGTCTTCGAAAGAGGGCGTGGGTTCAAATCCCACTTCTGACATTGGTGATCTAAGATAGGCTAACTATATTAAATCTTTTTGAGTTATTTCCTCAAATATGAACAATGAAAAGGGTTGAATCGTCCATGAATTATGAAACATTATCCTGATTGAAGCAACATGATTTTTTTTTACTACAAACAGAAATGTTACAGTTTATGCCCCACAATGAACCATTCTCTGAAACACTCGCCATGAGTCCCCATGTTCTTGCAGCTTCACAACACGAATTCAGTTTTGAAACGCCCATCTCTTAAGATGTTCAAAGCAAAAAATGCTCCATCTGCCGAATGTGCATGCATTTAGCTCTCATGGCCTTTGCCATTCATCTCCCATAGGTATCCAATCATTATGAACATTCACTTTTCTACTTGGATTCAAAGAAAGGATGATTTAGAGCTTGAACTGCAGTGAGACGTTTGCACGGATCATAGTTTAATAAACCTTCCAACAGATCTGCAAGCAAATATCTTGTACTCTCTACATGTGATACCATATTCTGGGGGGGAAAGGAAAAAAAACGAGTTTTCATCAGAGCAAGGAAAAGTGGATATAAAAAGCATGACGCATGAAAGGAAATTTGACCTTGAGGAGATCAAGCTTCTTAACAGCCCTAATACTCTCCCTAGACACTGCTCCTTCAGGCCAATTTAGTCTAGAGCCTCTCAGGAAATATTTTTCCGCACCCCGGCTGTATCATATTGAATTTAGGGTAAGACGAATGCAATTATAACCAGTTGATAATGAGATTAAAATATAAGCTTGACTTACTTTGCCCTTTGAATCATATGCTCAGGAATAGATCCTAATACTCTCTCCATCATTGCCAAATGCTCCAAGTTTTCATGGGTTTGAAATAATGCTTCGCCCTACACATGATTCAATCAGGGTCGGATCAGGAGCTCCACACCTAAACAACCCAAAATGCATATGAAGATATGCAGGACTGACCGTGCATAGTTCCACAAGTATACAACCAACACTCCAAACATCACATGGATAACTCCAACCTAAACCTGCATCAGAACAACAGAGAGAATACTTGAAAGGGTGTCAACACAAACAGATAGCATTGGAAGGATGCCAAAACAACGATTAGCGTACTTAAAAAAACAGGAAAAATACATTCTCATTTTCGAACACAATAATCAGTTACCTAGAATAATCTCAGGGGCTCTGTAGTGTCTTGTGGAGACAACGGAGCAATGATTCTGATTATCAAATGCAGTACTACCAAAATCAATCAACTTAATGGCACTCGACTTTGGCAAGCACCTGAAATGCGCTTCATTTGAATAACTCCTCTGTACCATTCCAAGTATTATTTATTACCATTACCAATTCTTTAAGCCCGATCGAAAATGGCATAAATTGTCAACTACAGATGCAAAATACCTTGCAACCAGGAAGCTTTCAATATTCGGAAGATACAAGAAGAATATTTTCTGGCTTCAGGTCAGTATGGATTAAGTGTAAATCATGCATATCTGCCACATAATTTAAAGGTGTAGGAAGATGTTAAACAAGGCCAAGTAACAGAACAAGGTGATTCGTTGGAAAATGAAAAATGATATAATGTTGAGCCAAGAACAATCCACACATGCTACAGATTCCAAAAGTTGACGTCCAAATTCCCAAACAGATCCACAGGAAATGGGGAGTATTTATTTCTCTTTAAAAAATCAAATAAACTTGGTTCGAGCTTCTCAAACACCTGGTAACACCATTAAAATGCACCCACAGGAAGCTTTTTGTTTAGTCACAATTATACAAATGAAGTCTACAAGGGCAAACTATAATCAATGACTCAAGGTATCTTAATATATTCAAGTTTCAACTATTGGGATTTCAACTCATTTGCCTAAAAGCAATCACAGCAAATTGAGAAAAAATGAAGCATCATGCATTTAAGAGAACAAGCAGAGCATTAACACTCCAGCCACTCTTTGAATAGCAAAAATAAAGTTGCCACTACTAAAGAAAAAGAATGACTGAAATGAAACTCAAAATGTTTAAAAGAAGGTTGCAAATACTTACAATACAAATGTGATTGCGGTAATCAAACGAATTTCGAATCTTCACACAGCTGTAAGTAGTAACCAAAAGGGTCAGTTAGCATAAATGAAAAAGACTTGATACGTTAACAAAATACAGAAAGTCATGTACCCTGAGGTGCATTTTTCATTCTTTGCCAGATGCTGAAGTATATCAATTTCAATCATAGCTGCATCACGGTATTTATGAATGCTTCTAACTATCTTAATAGCAACATAATCCCGTGTTTCACGATCCCAACATTCTAAAACTAGTCCAAATGTGCCTACAACCCTAGCAACTTTCGGTGAGAAGTGCCACAGCCAGATTCACAAATATTAAAAGATCTCACGGCAGAGCATTTTGTCGGCTAACCTTCACCCATCTTGCTAAGTATTTTATCTGTCAAAACATTAATTATACAAATCATTAGTAAAAAATACACCACAAACATACACACACACACACACACAAAAGGAAAATAATAATAGAGCTTACATCTTGGAGTGAGATTTTCGCCGAGATTGAAACAATAATGGCCTTCATGATCATCATCCTTCTTGGGCGGCGACAAAAGCCGAGTCTTTGCCGGAGTTTGAAGCGCCTACAAACCAATTCCCACCCCAAAAAGGTCAGATTCTTACTCATACACCAAGTAAACAACTATAGCCCTTTACGTTAATTTTCTCCTCTCTGCTCCGCCTGTTCCCAATGTCCTAACCCCCTAACCTTTTCTTTTATATATGAGGAACCAACCTCTGGCCCAGATGGTGCCACGTCCCACCCAAGACGAGGCCTTTTCCTGGTTCGCGCCTTCTCCACGTCTTCCATCTCAACTACCATTGATAATTTGTCGATGCCGATCCTTCAATGTATCTGCAAGACTGTTATGGTCGGAGAGGAAGAAGAACGACAAAGAGAGGAGGATCGGAGAAGGGACGAGCGAAGGGAGGATTTGGGAATAGACGAGCAAGGGCTAGGGATTGGAGACAGCAATTTAGGAATTGAGGCACGAGGGAGTCACGTGATTAATTTACTGATGAGATGGAGCAAGCCAAACGGATCCGTGGAAGGCTGGAGCGGCCCAAACCAAATGGCACAATACCTATTTAAGAGAAGAAATGACACAAACAATTCTGTTAGCAGTTTGTTATGTGTAAATACCAGCTGACATTCTTAGATTCTCCTTGTAACTAAATAATACTTGCTGTGAGAACAAATTTTCCTTATGCAATGAATGAATGAATTTCTTCTCTATTTTCTCTCATTCCTCTGATTTCTTTTCTCGAACCTTTCTACTTCTTTCAATCTATAACAAATTGGTATCAGAACCTCGATTCTAGCAAATTTTTAGTGGGCATTACCAAAGAAGAACCAAACTATGGCGGAAACTGATTTATCTGGATTACAAAAACAGATTGAAGATCTAGTTGTGTTGGTAAAACAGGGCCAAGATGAAATTAATCCACCTAAATGGTGGGAAAATCAAGAGAATAGAATCACTGCATTGGAGTCCAGAATGGCTACTAATCAAGGTTATGTGGAGGAACTGTTAAAGATTCTGATAGGCAGAACTGGTGAGCAAGAGCATTCTGCTGGTGAACAGGTACAAACTCCTAATTCTTCTAAAAATGGGGATAAGAGTCATGTTTTGGCGACTGTGGTGAATGATAAGTCTAGATTTACTTATAAAACTGATGAACCTGGGATTTTAAAAGCTAAACCTGATGCTTGTTTAGCCCTTAAGAATAGTTCTAGACATGAAAATCAAATGGGTGAAAACAGTGAATCTAGACCTGTTATGTTGGATCTGGAAGCAGAAAAAAGAGACCCAGAAGGTTCATTTAACAGTTCATGAACTATGTGGCATAGGCCTAAAATTGAACTGCCATTTTTTGAAAGGGTTAATCCTAGAGGGTGGATTTAGAAATGCCTGAAATACTTTTCTATTTGTAATGTTCCTGTTGAGCAGAGAGTGGAGGTAGCTACTATGTATTTAACAGGCAATACAAAAATTTGGTTTGATGGTTATATTATACAGAAACACCATGTAACATGGCATGAGTTTGAAGCTGATCTTTGTCACAGATTTAGTGACAAGTCTTTTTTTGATATTGTAGAAGAATTCACTAAATTGACTCAAAAAGGATTTGTGGAGGATTATCAAGAGAGATTTGAGGAGTTACAATCTCATATGCTTTTGCAGAACCCTACTTTAATTGAGGAATTTTTTGTCTTACTCTTTATTAGTGGACTTATAGATGATATCAAATATAGGGTCAAGGCTTTGGATCCTAAGAACTTGTCTGAAGCATGTAAACAAGCTAAGCTTTATGATATGTCTGTTGAGTTTGAGAATAGAAGGTTGAGGCATTCTTTTAAATCTCCACCCTACCCAAACCCCATTAATAGTTCTAAACCAGATTCACTACCAGCAAATACAAAACCTACATCAATACCAAACCCAAAGTAAAATCTTATTGATTATATGAGGTAGAATAACCTCTGTTTTAAGTGTGGTGAGAAATTTCTTCCAGGTCATCAGTGTAAAAACAGACAGTTGAACATGATCATTGAAGAGTCTGAAACTCCTTCATTGGAAATTTTCCTACTAATTCAGAACAGTCTCCACAAGCAGAAGAAGAAACTCTAGAAATTTCTATGAATGCTATTACTGGCTCTATTGGATATACTACATTGAGAATCCAAGGATCTATTCAGGGCAGACCATTGAATATTCTAATTGATAGTGAGAGTACACATAGTTTTTTTACTCCAAAATGTGCTGATGTTGGCATACAAATTACTACCCCTTATCCCTTGGCCATCACTGTGGCTAATGGCCAACAATTATTTAGTTCTGCTAGATGCAAAACACACTTTTATACATGATTTCAGATTACTTAAATTGGGTGGCAGTGATATGGTGTTGGGAGTTGATTGGATGAAATTATTCAGTCCTATATTGATGGATATCAATAACATGACTTTAAGTTTTGACCATCAAGGAGAGCATATTTGTATTCAAGGAAAACAACCTTTATCATAATTATAGTAGATTTCAGGGGCCACATTACTTAAGATGACTGCTTGGGATTCATATATTATGGGTCACATTGTTCTATTGACTATGACAGGGAATTCTCATCCTATTCCTATTGAAATACAACAATTATTGGAGAAGTACAACATAGTTTTTGCTGAACCAGAAGGATTGCCACCTCAGAGGACTCATGACCATGCTATTCCACTTAAGCCTAATGCAACACCTGTTAATCTAAGACCCTACAGGTTTCCTCATAATCAGAAAGTTGAGGTAGAAAAACAAATTGCCAGTATTCTTTCTTCTTCTGTTATTCACCCTAGCAGGAGTCCTTTTGCATCACCCTGCCTTCTTATTAAAAAGAAGGATGGCACTTGGAGATTTTGTATGGATTATAGACAATTAAATAACATGACAATCAAGGATAAATTTCCTATTCCTATAGTGGAGGATTTATTGGATGAGTTGCATGGGGCAGTCTATTTTTCTAAGATTGATTTGAGATCAGGATATTGACAGATTAGAATCAGACCAGAAGACATCTATAAGACAGCCTTCAGAACACATCAAGGCCATTATGAATTTAAGGTGATGCCTTTTGGCCTTACTAATGCTCCTGCTACATTTCAGGCTCTTATGAATGAATTATTTAATTCTTTCCTTAGGAAATTTGTTTTGGTCTTCTTTGATGACATTTTGGTGTACAACAAAAGTATGCAAGACCATATGAAGCATTTGCAAATGGTTTTATAAGTTTTACAAGTTAATAAATTATTTGTAAAATTATCCAAATATTTTTTTGGACAACAGCAGGTGGAGTATTTAGGCCATATTATTTCTGTTGCAGGGGTGTCTACTGACCCCAACAAGGTAGAAGCAATACAGACTTGGCCTAGACTTAAAACCCTTACATCTTTACGTGGGTTTCTTGGTCTAACAGGATATTACAGGAGGTTTATCAGACATTATGAAATTATTAGCAGACCTTTAACACAACTCTTAAAGAATGATGGGTTTCAGTGGAATTTCGTTGCTTGTATTGCTTTTGAAGATCTTAAAAGAGCTATATGTTCTGCTCCAGTTTTAGCATTGCCAGCTTTTTCTAAGACCTTTTATCTAGAAACAGATGCAAGTTCTGGGGTGTTGGGGTTGTTCTTTCACAATAAGGTAGACCTATTGCTTATTTGAGTAAAGCTCTAAGCCCTAGACATTCATCACTTTCCATTTATGAAATATAATATCTTGCTATTCTCTTGGTTGTTTCTAAATGGAGACATTATTTGGAGAGTAGACCCTTTTGTTATTAAAACTGATCATGAGCCCTTAAAGTTTCTGTTAGAACAGAAAGTGACTACCACTATTTAGAAGAAAGGGTTGACAAAGCTATTGGGTTTGGACTATACTATACAGTATAGAAAAGGGAAACTAAATGTTGTTGCTGATGCTTTATCTAGAAGATGGGAAGACCAAGCTCAGTGTTTTACTTTGGGGGCAACTGTTTTGATTCATACTTGGGTGCAAGAGGTAGAGGACAGTTATCAAGGTGATACTTTAGCTCAGAATTGGATTTCAATTATAGCTATCAATCCTATTGTTGACAGTAAATGAAAATATTCTAAGGTTGTTCTTAGATACAATGGAAGAGTCTATATTGGGGCTAATATAAGTCTTTGGTTGAAAATTATTCAAACCTTACATGACTCTTCACAAGGTGGTCATTCAGGAGCACAAGCTACTTATTACAGAATTAGGTCTAATTTTTATTGGCCTAAACTTAAAGCTATGGTTACTACTTATGTGAGGTGTTGTACAATTTGTCAACAAGCAAAAGTGGAGCATATCCCAAAGCCTAGTCTGTTACAACCCCTGCCTATTCCTAATCAAGATTGAGAAGTTATTATTATGGATTTCATAGAGGGTCTACCTAACTCATTCAAGAAGAACTGCATTCTGGTTATAGTGGATAAATTTACTAAGTATAGTCATTTTCTGTCATTATCTCATCCTTATTCTGCAGCAGAAGTTGCTAAATTATACTTAGACAATGTTTACAACCTACATGGCCAACCTAAGATGGCCATTTCAGATAGAGATAAGACTTTTACCAATGCTTTTTGGAAAGAACTGATGAAATAGTTGGGTACTCAAACACTTTTCAGCACTGCTTACCATCCAGAAACAGATGGCCAAATAGAGAGAGTTAATCAGTGTTTGGAGCAGTTTTTAAGGGGTGTTTGTTTCTATCAACCTAAGCAATTGGCTAAATGGCTATCACATGTAGAGTGGTGGTACAATACCACTTATCACACTGCTCTTAAGCTTACTCCTTTTTAAGTTTTATATGGATACAAACCACCTATTATGGTTTGGTCTACAGACACTACATTACAAGCAACACATGATATTATCACTAGCAGAGAGCAAATCAAACAATTAGTAAAGCAGCAACTAGAATTGACTAGTAATCGTATAAAGCAGCATGCAGATAAAAACAGGTCAGAAAGGGTTGTTAATGTTTGAGATAGGATTTACCTGAAGTTGCAGCCATATAGGAAAACTTCACTTGCTCTGCAAAAAAACCTCAAGTTAGCAGCCAAATACTATAGACCATATAAAATTTTGGAAAAAATAGGAGAGGTGGCCTATCAATTGGACTTACCAGATTTATCAAAACTTCACCCAGTCTTCCATGTGAGCCTCTTGAAGAAGTTCATCGGGGACTCTTCCACTGCTGCCATAGATCCTCCTACAGTCGATGAAAAAGGACAGTTAAGCATTAAACCTTTGAAGATTATGGGAAGATGTATAATAAATCGAAACAATAAACCAGTCACTCAACATTTGGTTCGATGGAAAATTTTGGATGAATCAAATGATACATTGGAAGACTATTCGGTTCTCATAGGGCAGTTTCCTGCTTTCGATCCTTGGGGACAAGGCTCATCTCGTGGGGCGGGTATTGTTATGGTCGGATAGGAAGAAGAACGACGAAGAGATGAGGATCGGAGAAGGGACGAGTGAATGGAGGATTTGAGAATAGACGAGCAAGGGTTAGGGATTGGAGACAATAATTTGGGAATTGAAGTACGAGGGAGTCAAGTGATTAATTTACCTGATGAGATGGAGCAGACCAAACGAATCCGTGGAAGGTTGGAGCGGCCCAAACCAAATTACCCAATACATGTTTAAGAGAAGAAATGACACAGACAATTCTGTTAGCAGTTTGTTATGTGTAAATGTCAGCTGGTATTCTTAGATTCTCCTTGTAACTAAATAATACCTGCTTTGAGAACAAAATTTCCTTATGCATTGAATGAATGAATTTCTTCTATATTTTCTCTCATTCCTCTGATTTCTTTTCTCGGACCTTTCTACTTCTCTCAATCTATAACAAAGACAAAATCGATGAACTTTCCAAGAGATTTTACAGTGTTTGCCTGAGAGGACAGAAGTCAGATATCTCTAAGTTGTTAGCTAAGCCAATAAGGGTTTCGTATATGAATTGGGGATTTTAATTTCGCGCGAAATTTGCATGCGGTGACGTTTAGTATTTGCGTTTTAGAGTTTTGGTGTTGGGCTTTAATTGAACCATCCCAACATGAAAATATGCTCATCAACCCCTCACCTTGAGCCTTTGGGCTCTATAACACTTTTTCCGAAACCAGAAGTCGATTCAAACCCACTTAATCCATGGTTTTTGGTGGTTTAGTTAAATCAATTAAAATTTGCATAATCAAACTAATTTATTTAATTGACTTTCAATATATATATATATATAAATAATTAGTTCTATTAAAAAATAAAAAGTATATAAAATTACAATAAAATTTTATAACTATAAACGTAAACTAAAATATAATTTGGACATCTTTTTATAACCATTGACACGATAAATTAGCTACTTGAAATCATAAAAGAATCATACAAGAAAAAATCTAAAAGTGCATCCAGAAAACTCAAACAAAATATAAATTCAAACAAATCTAACTTCATTGACAAATGAACCACAACAGGAGATCAAACTACTAAAAAATCACTGACAGTTAAAAAATAAAGTCAAGCATCGTGAGAAAACTATATCCAGTCAAATTCAACTATAAGAAAATTAAACGAAAAGAAGGGACAAAAGATTGATAGAAAAGACCAAAAATATACCAAAAGATATAATTATTAGAAACTAAATATATATATATATAATCAAAATTAATATTCTCAGTTAAAATAAAAGGGAAAGAAAAGTAATCTGCCCTAGAGAAAACTTTTTAGAGAAAACCTTAGGTTATTTTTATGATATAATTATAATGCATAATAAATATAAAATATGTATCTTAGGAAATGATATTGATTTGAGTTCATGCTAACATGGTAATGAGTTAATAACGTAGAAATATTACATGAGTAGCCAAAACTGGTTTTAAAAGCTTCATTTTCAATACAAAATTTCCAGCCAATAATCAAACCAGTATGAAAATTAGTTTTTAGGAACCGTAGCCGCTCTAACCCCTCTTTTCTTTAGAGTTTATATTGTTTTTTATAATTCAGATCAATTTTGTCTTTTTTAATTTTATTTAATCGAAAATGCCATCGGTTCAAATGTTGGTTGCCACCATCAGTTCTTTTATCTCTTTATTTTTTTTAGTTTTTTAATAAGAAGAATTTTATCTTTGTGATACGTTTATTTATGTCTTTATGACATTTTTCTATGCCTTTGTGGCATGTCTTTTGTCTTCTTTTTCGATTGTTTGGCAGCTATTTTTTAATGTTTTATCATGGTTGGATTTGAGGACGCCACGACTGATTAAGATTATGCTTATTTGTAATCCAATTGATTTTTCCTATTATGACCCTCAAATTGAATTTGGACATACGATTTTACGATCGTTGATAGTTTCTCACGACGCTCGGCTTTGATTTGCAATTATCAGTGGTCTTTCAATAGTTTCATCCCCTCTTGTTGTTCGTTTGTCGATGCAATCAGATTTACTTGTATCTATGTTTCATTCAAGTCTTTTGGTTGTGTTTTTAACCTTTTTTCATGTATGTCCTTAGATCTAAAGTGGCTAGTTCAATGTTATAAAAAATAAAATTAACTTCTTAATAAGGTTAGCTGCTTCTATATATATATAAACTTGATTTTCAATATTTTGTAGATTACACCAATAAGTGTTGCGGGAATGGTAATCCCATCTGATTTGAAACGAAATTTATTAGGAGAAGACATGAAATCGTTTTGTTAATGACAGTTTTTCCTTTTTTTCGTTTAAACAAAAAAAGTAATTAAAAAAACAAGGATAATTAAAATTAGGGTAAATTCCATATTTAGTATCTATCAGTTTTAGCCCGTTTTTATACCTAAACTTTCAATTTATTCAAAACATATCTAATGTTTAGCTTTTGTTTTATTTTAATATCCCATTGTTAAAAATTTAATGTATTTAGTACATAAACTATAGTTTACCCTTAAAAATAAAGGCTAGGACTGGGCTTGTGGAAAGTGATTGAAACTTAACAAACCAAAACGCATGTATATAAGTATCATCTACAAATTATAAAGAAGACAAACACAAAATAGCGTGAAGATTCTGTTTGCTTTTAGATCATGTTGTCTTCCACTAGTAAAATAATGGTGAAGAAATGGGAAATAAAAGCCGTCTCCATCTCCTAAATTCCAATTAAAAGTTGTAATGTTTTCTTTTTGTCTTGTTCTGTGATTATAAAATTAAGGGTAATTTATTTAATAATATATTTACCAAAAGGAAGAACAAAAACCCAGACACAGTCCAACATGCTTCTGCAACATAATATCTTGGATTTAATAATTTATTGCTCAACCTTCACCTCGAAGACCAACAACTTATCTCTAACATCGGACTGCAAATTTTAAATCATACCCTTATTTTAATCTTTACGTTTTCAAATTTTAATTTAATTATTTTATTTTTACCACTTATCATAACTCAAAATTCCTTTTAAAATCTTCTTTTAAATTTGTAAACATGATTTTGGAATTTTCTTTCCTAAACTTTTAATCCAATTTTTCAGATTCTTTATTTTTTTTTGTCAATGTAGTGTTGTTTCTAAAAGGCTAATTAGGAGGAGGTAGAAGAAGATGGTATAAGTAATATATCATAATTTTACGATGATTGGACGATATATATTGTAGTTCGGAGTCGTTTTAAATAAATTTTAAACTGATAGAGTGATAGATGAATACGAGGTTGATGTTGATAACAGAAATGGAAAAGTAAGTATGAACGGTTAGATGAGATGGAACTCTAAAGAAGTTGTTGATAATATGATGAAATAAGATAAATTAAAAAAATAAAAATGAAGTGACTTCCAAAAAAAGAAAAAGAAAAACAACCAGCATCTTGTTTGATGGTCAGGTATTACGTCCACATCGTAGTTAATGTTATCCCTGCAAATACAAAAAGTAAACTAATTATTTCCATCTTTTTTCAAAAACCAAATCATTAAAGCCAGAATCCAAATGAGTAACCATGATGTTGACCACTTCAACTAACATTCATGAGCAATGAATATGAGCACAATCAAGTCCCAATAATAGATTACTACATTGCATTGCCAATCCAGCCTAATAGCTGCAGTTCAATAAGATACCATAAATAAATTTAATTATAAAGGGGAGCCATTTGTGTTTTCTGACTGAGTGACAGCCCTCAACTTCTCATAAGCATCGGAGCAGGCATGGGAATAATCCGACAAAGCACGGAATATCTCCGGCAATCGGATTTTGAGGCTTCCTACAGATTTCTCTCGTACTTGAATGCAATGCTTTCTGTGAGCTTCAACTTCCTCTTCCAACCTCTTTCTCAAGCTCTCTACTGCGACTTGCCTTTCGGAGACGGGATCCTTGGTGTTAGCGTCTTCACCTCTTTCTGTATCTATTTCATCCGACACGGATTTCCGTTCCTTATACTTGTGATACCATTCCTCGAATGCCTGGCTCTTGCGCAAGAATTCCTTCCGTGTTTCCTCGCATTTTTCTTTCAGCTTCATCTCTTCGTCTTGATGAATGATTATGGCTTTAATCACGGCTGCGAATGAAGAGATGGCGGATTTAGCGACCTCGTCGGGAAGCTTTTCGAGATGATCGTGCCAAGCGTGGAGAAGTGCTTGGATGGGAGGGTTTTGAACTCGTGGAGGAGATGAGATTTTCTCTTTCAAGCTGCTTTCGATAGGGATGAGATTCAACTTTAACCAGTTGTTGAGAGCTAGTATGTATTGCTTTTGATGAGTGACGAGCTTCTCGAATTGCAAATGCCATTCTTGGACTACATTATGAAGTTGGATGGTGCGATCATGGTGTTGCTTCGTTGTTTCTTTGGATGCGAGTGCAATGTCAAGAGATTTAAGCTTTTCAACGATATTGAGTTGGCTATCATGATGTATGCACATGCTTGCCCACATGTTCGCCATCCTGCAAAATTGGATGTCAATTTTTGAGGTCGTGAGAATTCAGTTCAATGATGTTCACATACTTAAGTGCATCGAGAGTAAACAATAAGTCGGTTCTTAATCCAATACTTTGTGCAACACTAAAAGTAACAGATAAGCTTATGAAGAAAAGATGTCACATAGAGAAATATGAGAATCAATATACAACTTACTTGATACTTTCAAAGTAAAACTTACCCATCAACAAGCGTAACAAGTTTGGGGTATAACTGCTCGTCACGTAACCGGTTAACTTCAGACACTGTTGAATCCATGGACTGCATGTCAACTATGTACCTCGTATGAAGATGACTTACAGCTGCTTTCGTTTTCTCCAAAGATTCAGCGCTAGCTCCTCGTTTCTTTTGCTTGTTTAACCAAGCCACCTTCCTTTTGTACTCGAGCTTCATCAGCTCTCCTTGCTACATTAGATACCAAATTTTCATATGATTTCCGATACAAGAACAAGAATAGGTCAATAATATTAACATGTCTATCATCTACATGGGTTGCCATGGAAAGCAGCCGACCATCGAAAAGTAGAGAACGGATAAACCGAAAACTTAGAGACATACCTTTACTTCATCGTAAAGTTTCTTTTCCCATGCTAGCAACTTATCCAAAACAGTGGCATGAGTCTCGTACTCTTCCGAATCAAATTCGTCCTTCCCGATTTCACCATTCGTCATACCTCTGAAAGAATTGTTCCATGTAATGACACGCATTACCCTTGCGGAATGATCAATATGTCCTGCAATCAGCCGAATCAATAATATGATCAATATGTGTCTGATCATTATACACGAAAGCATTTCTCTACCGGGAACTCGATGTCTATAGCCCTTTAAAATAACACAAAAGAAGAAACAGATAAACTAAAGAACTGTTCAATTATGCACCATTTGACCCAATGAAAAATTGCAGCTTTTTCTTTTTCTTTTCTAAAGAATAAAGTATAAAGATCTAAGGTCAAGACCAGATTCTAACATAAAAAGGTAAAGCACACCAAGATCTAAATGTAAAGCAAGTTTTTACACAGAAAGTCCATTAGATCATTCAAAAACACAATTTTCTTTTGCTTAAGGTTTCAAGCTTCAAGCTTTCACAGAAAAGATGGTGGAAGATCCTACCTTTATCGAACTCGACCGTCGAAAACTTGAACTGTCTCAGTTAAAAATGTATTAGCAAATTAGCAATCATCGAAGTAACTTAAAGACCAAGCAGATTACCTCGATTATCAGCAAAATTGGAATGATAATGCAACCTAGTAGCCTCAAGCATCTTAGAAACCTCTTGAGCATTCTCTGAGGATTTCAAGAAATGGTCATCGATCTCATTCAAAACCAGCATCAAATTCACACTAGAAACGGCCTTCATCACTCTCCTGAAATCGGCCGGAGCCGTTTTTGAATGCTCGATCTGTATAGGCTGCTTCCCTTTCACATCATCCATCTCCATAGCCATCGCCATTGCCGTCACTTTCTCCGGCCTCTCCGGCGTCTTGGGCTCAATCTCGTTATCACCAGTAAAACCCACACCGTTGACATTGTTCTCCAAAGCGTTGGCATTTCGAGTGTCGGTTTCGTTGTGATTGTTGTTCAAATCCAAGCTCGGACCCGGCATGTTATTATCGACCATAAAGAAGTAATCCCAAGCCATGTTTTTAGCTTCCGGCATCGGCGGAGGGTGGCGGGTCACATTGTTGTTCTCCGATGTCGTTGATGCCGTTATCTCCTCCCTGTGAGGCCCTTCATTGTGATTTTTTTCAAGTACCTCGTTTTCTAGGTGATGTACTTCTTCACCTTCTTCCTCATCTTCTTCTTCAATGGCGAGGGAAGCATCGAACTCCTTACGACTCTTGATGGGCATTTCCGGCATGCTAACGGTGCGTTTGATGGGCGGGACGGGGCTAGGGGAGAAATTAGGAAGTGGAGGCGGCGGTGGAAGGTTGTCCAACATGGGCGGCGGAGGAGGCGGCTGAGGTGTGGCGTCAAGAGGAGGAATCTCATGCTGGTGTTCGAGAGGCTCTTCGGCTTCTCCATGACCGTAGTCACTCAAGGCAGCGCCGGTGTTCTTCAACGAAATGGCGTAACCAGAGTGACCGGCGGCGAAGGCGTTGCGAGCCACAACCGCATCTTTCATCAAGTTCTTCCGGTTCTTGCAACGAACCACTGATTCTTCGTTCTCAATTCTAGACTGGGCACACCCCATTTTTAGAGAAAAAAGCGAACCCTTCAGCTACCAGTTAGCAGCCACCAGGTCCGACGGTCAAGAAAACCCAATGGTGCGCCGTGTGCAGTGGTTTCTGGCTTTCAAATTTAGTTTTGAGGGATAAGAAATGAGATAGTGGGATACAGACAGCGTGAGTACAGCGAGAAAAGGAGAAGACAATGGGAGTCAGACTGCAGCAAAGCTGCACAGAACAGAGGCAAAGAGAGTGATGAGAGTGGGGTATACATTTGTACTCGCGTCCTTTTCTCTATATTTTTAATTAACGGTCACATTATTTTTTTCAAAAAAATAAGAAAAAATACGTTGCACGACGACGTTTTATTGCTAGATTAATTATAACCCTATCATGTAGTTTTTGAATTTAGACGATAGCTGTTGGAGTTGGTTAATTGAATAGCTTTAGATTTGAATTGTTTTGATTTTCCAATAAATTTGAATTTAAATATTTTTATAAGGTAGTTTATATCAACTTGCTAATGTTTAATTATCCATCAGTTAGAGATATAATTGGACGGTTCAAAATGGTGTATATAACGAGTGATTATGCTGTGACGCCTAAAAAATGGTTAAAAAATGGTGTGATCTGTTAAATAAATAACTGGTTAAAATTTAGATCGATTAAGTTATATCATTTAACCGAAAATATTATCAAGTACAATAATATATTAGGTATCGCTTATATTGACATATTTTCTAACTAAACAGGTATATTTAAACCGGTAACATTACAAATTTACCTATTACATTATAATTATCGGTTTTGATGTTTTTGGGATTGATACAATTTTAAATGTATCGACACTTTATGCGTGCATCTCGTTGTGCTTTTATTTTGGGAAAAAAATATCGACACATATTTAAAGAGTGTCGATACATAATGTAAACCTATTTGCTAATTAACCAATATATTTTACCGGATACATTGTAAATTTACATGTTACATAATAATTATCGATTTCGATGTTTTTTGAATCGATACTTTTCATAAATGTATCGACACTTATGCGTGCACCAGTTTGAGTTCTTCAATCATAAGTTTATTCTTTAAGAAATTAAAACTAGCCTAACTTTATCTATCGAGATAATAAGAGTATATCACAAGTTTGCGTTAAGAGATGTTTGTTTCTGGGTTTTTGTTCTTTGAGAAACTGATAACATGGTGGGTTTCTCAATGTTATTCTTTTGTTACTGCAAAAATTTTTGTTATTTTCTTACTGGGTTTTGCTTAAAATATCCAACTTTTTATATTAAAAAATGAAAATTCTGAAATAAAAATGATCACACAAGCACACTTTTTTACAACCGGTTTTGTCATTTCGAGATCGATTTTGTCATATTTTTACTTGTTATATTGTTATGGATCAATACATTTTTATAAAGTATTGACACTTTATTAGCGCTATAACTTCTTTTCTTTTAAATTCCAAAAGTGTCGATACTTATAATAAAGTATCGACACTATCAACATATCCGGTAGCTCTTTACCAGTTTTGTCATTTCGAGACCGGTTTTGTCATATTTTTACCTGTTATATTGTTATGGATCGATACATTTTTATAAAGTATCGACACTTTATTAGCGCTATAACTTCTTCTCTTTTAAATTCAAAAAGTGCTGATACTTATAATAAATTATCGACACTATCAACATATCCGGTAGCGCTTTATCTGTTTTGTAATTTATAGACCGGTTTTATCATTTTTTACATGTTTTATTACTATGGATCGATACATTTTTATAAAGTATCGACACTATCAACATATCCGGTAGCGCTTTACCTGTTTTGTCATTTATAGACCGATTTTGTCATTTTTTTACCTGTTATATTGTTATGGATCGATACATTTTTATAAAGTATCGACACTTTCAATATATCCGGTAGCGCTTTACCTGTTTTGTCATTTATAGACCGGTTTTGTCATTTTTTTACCTGTTATATTGTTATGGATCGATACATTTTTATAAAGTATCGACACTTTCAATATATCTGGTAGCGCTTTACCTGTTTTGTCATTTATAGACCGGTTTTTTCATTTTTTACCTGTTATGTAACATCCCAAATCAGGGTCAGTGACTAAATTACAAATTTTGAAAGTTTTGTGCTCAATTTAGAAATAATTAAAAGTCTCGGGATTTAAGTAAAGAATTTTAATATTGGATTAAATAGCAAAGATGGATGAACTTGTATCACCCCAATTTAGGGGCTAAATTTAAGAAATTATAAAGTGGTGAATTTAATTAAAATTTTGAAAGGAAATTGAGGATTAAATTGTAAAATCGCAAAGTTGACAGACCATTTTAAGAAGTGTAGGAAGTTCAATGACTAAACTCTTGGTTTACCCATTTTTTATATAGGATGAATATAAACCCTATTTCCCAGGATCAGTTCCCAGAATACTTCTCATTTTTCCCTTTCCCTCAACCCTCATTCCAACTCTGATCTACTCATCGTCTGACCTCCGATCGACGAACCGAAACCACCATCGTGTTTGTTGTTAATCGAAGAACAAAACCCCTAAAACCTTTCGTCGTGAATCGTCGCCGTTCGTCGTTAATTTCAGTCGGAAGTATCGTCGGTAATAACTCGATTTCAGTTGGTTTTTCATCGATTCCCGACGATCCGGTCATCCGTTTACGACACCTCCCGGACCATCGTGTTCCTTGCATCGTTCCAAGTCCACCGGTGTTTTTCGTTTCTCCGTCGTCACCGGCGCGTGGAGGGGTGAGACCGTCAAAGTTTTCGACGTTTCGGAATCGAGCTCTCCGCCGTTCAAAATTGTGAACCGAGCTTTGTAAGTGCCTCAAAATCGCTTAAAATAATTTTTAGGAATTTTTTCAGGAATTTTCTGACAACGTATCACTGTTCACGCGCCACCCCCGAGAGTGGGCATCGTCTGGGTGATAATTTAGTAATTAATTTATGTTCGGGTGCTATTTGTGTAAAATTCAGGTGTTAGATTGATAAATATTTACAGAATGTGGCTAATTTGGTAATTAATTTCTGTTAGGGTGATATTTGTGTAAAATGGTTAACCCGTTGACTTTTGACCGTTAACCGGCGTTGACCACTGTTGACCAAAACTTTGACGGGCTTTGACCGGGCATTAAACGACCTTTGACTTTGACCGAGTATATCTATCATGACATTTTTCGGCATTCCAAATCCGATTCCGCAGTCCGTTTTTCGAAATTCGGACCCGAAGGCCTCGAAATTGGCAGTCAAACCCGTCGACTTTGATTTTGACTAAAAATTTTAAATTTTCGAAAAGTCATATTTTATGCTTTTAACGTCTTGAATCCAAATCCGACCGTTTCGCCAAATTCGACCCCGGTAAGCTGTTTTTCACTGATTTATCACCCGATTCGATCTGTTTATCGTAATTAAGCTCCGTTTTTTATATAATTTATGTTGATATGTATCTGAGGAATTATTGGAAGTTAAATTGAATATCAAAGGCGTTCGAATGGAATTTTTATGGTCGATCATTATTGTACGAAAATCGAGGTAATACTTTACTACCTCTTTATGATTTATGGAACATGTTGATATTGGTAAATGCATGAATAAGATAATGTTGGTCACTTTTATGGAGTTGAATAATTATACACTCGATATGAATGTGGTAGAAATTCGATAACTGAATTCGGATCGAATGATTAATATAAGAGATTGAGAGAATGTTAGAATTAAATTACAAGTTGTGTGATTTGTGATAAAGAAATCAGCCATGGATTTGTAACTTATATTTTATATCATCAAAGGTTAAATGTTAAAGTTACTTGGATGAGAAATTATGAGAATACTCTGGTATGATAAAATTACGAAAATACCCTTATATTGTAAGATGACAAAAATTGTCCTTGGAAGTTGGTTAATAACTCTAAAAAGACATATTGATTCAGTAAAATTTTATATGTGCATAAGAAATGCTAGTTTTGCTTAGGAAATACGAATAACCAGTTTTTTTTAAACCCAAGAGGGTTTGTGCAATATACTAGAAGTCAGTTAAAGAATCATTTCAAGATCAAAGAATGTTCGGGAAAGCAATTAATCATAAGATCTCTAAATTATATTATTTGGTTAAGAGTTAATACCGAAATTATCTTGTTAAGAAATTACAAAAATGCCCTTGAGAGGTAAAATAATATGAGTTGACCCTGATTGAGAAAGTACTTTGAGGATTCGTACTTACCTCGATTAAGTATGTATTTAATTGTTAAGATCCTGTCTTGGTACAAAAAAATTCATGATATTCCGTTTGTTAAATCTGAGAAGGCACTTGACCCGAAAATATCCGAGTTATGAGTAAATACCTGAAGAAAAATTTATCGGAGGGTGATCTTTTATCAGAATTGTTCGAAGGGACTGAAATAGATGATAAATTGGAATTAAATAATAAGATCAGATGGAAGGAAAAGATTGAAATATCGTAGATCTGTAAAATGACCAGAATACCCTATAATGGAAATGACTCAAGAATATCACCAAGTTCAGGAATGAATAGATATCCTCAAGCTTTGAAATGAATGGAATAAAACTGAGCATAAAAATACCCTTATGACCTAGAATAAGTAAATGTCTTGGATTAATTAAGAAATCCAAATAAACATGGATGTTGTGCTACCAGTAAAAGTTATGGAACGCAGCTTAAGTGATCAACCAATGCTAGTGCTATATCATTACCTAAATGATATAGGTACCACTTGAATGTTTGTTCGACTTCTCAAATTTGGATCGATGATAATTCTTGAAGTACTTGGCTCAGCTAAACTCTAGAGCGCATACAGTATTAATAAGTGGGTATTCGTGAGACAAATCAATCACGAATGCCAGAATGACTTTATTATATGACTAAATTGAACTGAAAGGAAGTGCAACATGTATTTGAAATTCAGAAACGTCTGAATTATTTTGGAAAACTCTAAAATAACCGGGATAGACTTGCTTACTAAACGAACTAAGTAACCTCGATGACTGAGGATTAATTAGGTGATTGGATTACTTTGGAAACACTGTTGAAATTACATGATGAATTGTCCTTATGGGTTATGAACAATGAATCAAGTGCGTCTGTATTTTCTGATATCGTTGAAACGTGGAAATGGAATAAAGACCGTTGGAAGATCTATTCAGCGATGATTATGGGGATGATCTATGGATCTGCA